CATGCCAACTCAAGCTGGTTCTTTCCAGTGCAGCAACACACTTTAGGGCAACAAAGTTCAGAATGGATACAATGGCCTGTTCAGAAAGCATGCAAGTTATATCAGGGTCATTTCTTCAAAGTCAGTATGATAAATTTGTTAACTAGATCTGACCATAGAAAGAGAGAGGAAGTAATGTAAATTGCAGACATGCCAGCTCTGTTGGTTCACATTACAGCTACCTAATGTTGGGCTTAATTTTCTTTTTCGTCTTCTTCTTCACTATCATCAACCTGTTGGATGACCAGATGCAGGCAGACCCATCTTCTACAATCTCCACATAGGATCTATTCTCATCTTCACTCAAGTGCCATCTGGAATCCTTATCTCCATCTGATGGGGACATAAGATGTTGTTCAGCTTCCAAGTCAATGGGGAGGCTGTCAATGCCAAATTCTGCAAGACACTCATTACACAGTCTGTAGCGCCTGGTTCGCCTCCTGTACCACTTGCCCTGTTAGAGATCTGTCACATGACTGTTTTAATTTTCTTAAGCAGAATGAGTTTACATGGCGGCGTGAGTGAAGTCTGTGTAGAAGGATATTAAATAGTGATAGAACGTGATTTTTCATAAGGCAGGACATGTTTGATAATTTTAGGGTGACCAGTTCATAAAACTTAAGATGTTCAAAGCCATGCATTAAACTCAATAGTACATCTGATTATTAGAAAAGGATTAAGGGGTTTAAAAAAATCTCTTTTTCACTGTAAGATGGAGTTTCACGTTTGTTACGCAGGCTGGATGTGCAATGGCGCGATCATTCGCTCACTGCAGACCTCTCGCCTCCTGGGTTCAGGCAATTCTCCTGTCTCAGCGCTCCTGAGTAGCTGGGATTACAGGCATGTGCCTACCAGATGTCCAGCTACTTTTTTTGTATTTATAGTAGAGACAGGGTTTCACCATGTTGACCAGGATGGTCTCGTGATCTCTTGACCTCGTGATCTGCCGCTCCTTCGGCCTCCTAAAGTGCTGGATTACAGGGCTTGAGCCATCCGCGCCAGAGTGTGTGAGAGAGACGGAGTGTCCCTGTTGCCGCAGGCTGGTCTTGAACTTCCGAGCTCAGGCAGCAACACCGCTTGCCTCAGCTCTCCCGAAAGAGCTAGGATTATAGGCATAGAGCCAGCCGCACTCCGGCAGATCAAGCGGTTTTAGTGATAAACTGATGTCACAAAAATATTAAACATATGCTTTCTCTAAATAGTGGCTATCATGTTTTTATTATTAACTATTACATAATAAGTTTCCACATATCACTTACTCCAATAGCATTTGGGTATCTCATGGGAACAACGAGGGATATTTCAAAAGATAATAATTGCAAACACTTACTATGTGCCTATGTACTTTTTTTCCCCTTAATTTACGTTTATTACTTACTTATTTATTTATTTTTGGAGACAGTAGTCTAATGCTCTGTCACCCAGGCTGGAGTGCAATGGTGTGATCTTGGCTGACTGCCATGCTCTGCCTGCCCAGGTTCGAAGCTGATTCTCCTGCCTCAGCCTCCTGAGCAGCCTGGGATTATATAGCACAGTGCCATCATGCCTGGGCTAATTTTTTGTGCTTTTTAGTAGAGATGGGATTTCACCATGTTGGTCATGGCTGGTCTCAAACTCCTGACGCTCATGATCCACTCTGGCCTCAGCCTCCAAAGTGCTGGGATTAGACAGGTGTGAGCCATCGTGCCAACGTACTTTTTATTTTTTAAGGATAGATCTTTCTCGAAATTGCCATAAAACTGAGCAAAAACAAAGATAGAGTCTCACTCTGTTACCGCTACGGGTGTAGTTGTCACCATGGTCACTGCAGCCTCCAACTCCCAGCTCAAGCAATCCTCGTATCCCAACCTACCCAGGCGCTAGGATACACGGCACATGACACAGCACCTGGCTAATTAAAAAAAATATATAAGAAAAAGGTCTCACCATATGTTGTCCAGGCTGAAGCTATCATATTGAGCGTGGGAATATCTCTTGTTTTGTGTATTAATTTTTTGTTTTTTAACTAGTACAAAATATGTTACAAATTTAAATCTGTCATATTTTTTGTATAAGGAGTACTGGCATTATTCTTAAGAAAAGATATGGTGGCTGGGCGCTGTGGCTCAGGCCTGTAATCCTAGCCTTTGGGAGGCCGACGTGGGTGAGATCACCTGAGGTCCAGACGTCAAACAAGACCATTCCTGCCAGTACATACATGGGTGTAAGACCTAATAAGCACCATTCTTATAAAAATAAAATAAATAAGAAAAAAAAAAAAAAAAAAAAAAAAAAAAAAAAAAAAAAAAAACAAAACAAAAATAAAAAAAAAAAAACAAACAAAAAAAAAAAAAAAGAAAAAAACAAAAAAAAAGATTAAAAGATAGAGAAAAATAAAAAACAAACACATCTAGATAAACACAACAATAGACATGACAAAACATAGAACTAAAACAAGAGACACAACACAAAAACATTAATAGACACCAAAAAAGATAACAGAATAAAAATTAAATAAAGGGATAAAAAAGAAAAAACAAAACAGGACAAAAGAGTAAATAGAAATACAGAAAACAAAAAAGAACCGGAAGAGAAAAGAAAAGACTATAAAAAGTACAGATAA